CTAGGTACTCTGGCAAGTCTTGCGAGATTATTGATCGCCTGGCGAATTTCCTAGCTGTGCAGGCGAGTTCGACGATCGCGTGGTCTTGACTCGTGCTGGCGAGTCAAGCACACAGGCGAGCTCCTTTCGTGCCGGCGAGCTAAACCCTTGAGCGGATTTGACTCATGCTGGCGGGTTAAGCCTGTGGACGTAACCGAGTTCTTAATGGCGGGTGTTTTAGGTCTCCCTATAGTCAAGGCAATTTTTATAGCCTACATGGTTCTGAAGCCTTTGTTGCCTTTGGGGTTGCTGTTTCCACTAAGACGACGACTGCTGAGGCGCTTGCTGTTGTGGTCACTGTTGCGGTTGTAGTTAGAAAGTCTGACTCGCATTCACTGCATTTGCCAGTGCTTTCCCCTTATTTCGAGGGACGAACTCCTACTTCGGAGCACTAGCCGTGGGTTGACCTCTTTCATCCTCCTTCATTTTGAGGAATCGTTCAGCTTGTTCCCCGTGCACTTTCAGTTCTTTCCAGGTCTTGGAGGGTGCTACGCCCATGGCTTCTAGAACGTCCAAGGAAAGATTGTTATGATGTGTCTGGAGAATGAACTCCTTCGTGACCGGATCTCGGCAGTTCATCGCCTTGTTCCGGAAGCAATTGATGAAGTTGTCGACCGATTCTTCGTCCTTCTGCTTCTCATCGAAGAGTGTTCCGATTGACACTTCAGTGTTGTCATCGAAGAAGTTGGTGAGAAACATGCTCTCCATATCGTCTTAGTTGTTGATACTTCCTGGCTTAAGACGGCGGTACCAATCGAAGTCAGCTCCGTGAAGGGTGCCAACGAATGACCGGACCATCAATGGTTCATTGCCAGAGATCACACTTAGGTGGGACTTGAAGTAAATTAGGTACTGAGTGGGTGAGCCCATTCTGTTGAACGACGTGAAGTTAATTATATTGAACTTCACCAGATACGAATTGACTCACATTCCTTCGGATATGGACACGGGATACCGATCTTCTTCACCTCTTGAGAAGACATCAAGGCGTCGATTTTGCTCTCGAGGCCCTTCATATTCTTATCTTCGCCTGCCTCTTTCTTTGGGGGTTGCTGAGGAGATTGAGAAGGCCCAACTAGACCGCCCCTAGTGTTATTGTTTTTGGGAGGGGTATCGGCAACAATGTACTCATCCACCTCTAGGTCACTATCGATTGTATTGGTTTGAATGGGCGTGACATTTCGATGGCTGGACTCGGCCCGTTGGCTGGATTCAGGTAGTTGATGTGATAGAGCCTGAAGTTGTTGGGCATGTAACTCCCTCACCCGTTATTCATCTCCATTTCCATCTTCATAATAGCTCTAAGCTCTTCATTTTGCTTAGCTAGAGCGTCTTGAAGCATTTGAACCAACTAGTTGGGAGTTATTATGAACGCCTCCCGAACTCGTCCTGTCCTGGACACTGTATTGTCCGAAGCGACTACAGAGCAAGCGTCCGACACTTCATCATCTGAGGATAGCCCTCTCTGTATCCTATGATAATCCCTACGCCTAATAGTTCTAGTACGCAGTCGAGTTAGACGCTGGGATACCCCCGGAAAAGAACTGGGGATGGAATGTCGTGTTGACTTTCCTATGTTAGCCATATTGATGGTAACTTCTGGAAGTTCATCATCTTGACCGACTGACCTTCTTTTATAGAAACGCCTTGGCTTGGGCTTCGATGCTTCAATGGAAAGGCTTTTAAATACCGAGACCCTCTGTGGAGTGGTCTTAGGACAACCACACTCTGATAATACCGTCCTGATAAGTGTCTCACATGAACAAGGAGGATCCGTTTCCCGGATACCTCTCTTCCGAGACTTGTTCGTACCCCCAGCCTGATAGTACAACTCATCGGCATTGTGGCCGGAGCAAGCTATCGGTTGTTGGTTTGAGTTTCTAGGTATAACGTTGTCGTTTGATGGACACGTCTTCTTATGGAGAGGTAACACCTTGTAGGCGTTCTCGGGAGTCGTACGTTTGGAACCACTCCTTCGCGAGGGTGGGACCTCAACGGGTTCCTATTCTTGAACACGCACACCTAAGCGGGTGGTGATAGGACCTGACTTTGGCTTGATGGGAGGCCGCATACGACGCCTAGTCTGACGAGTCGCTTGGGGTTTATTCACCAGACCCAAGCGTTCTTTTATCAGAGCTTTGCCTCGATCCTTAAGCACGGGACCAAGCTGATCCGCCATCGTTATTTTGAATCGGGACAGATCCACACTACCGTGAGACTTTACCAGAG